TTTTTTTTTTTTTTTTTTTTTTTTTTTTTTTTTTTTGCCTAAAACACCAGCCCTTAAACAGCTACCAGAGAAGCTGAAAAGCACCAAAGTAGCTTCAAAGCAACACCCTCCTCTGTTGGAGGATTCATATTGCTGCTAGAATTAATCATTTGTGGATTTTCAAAATTGCTTATTTACAAACTAAGGCTCCTATCCTGCAAAGATTTACACATGTGCTTCACTTCATGCAGTGTGAGTAACTCCAGCAAAGTTAAAGGAACTACTTACAGTACATAAAGTTTAAGCAGATTGTGGCTAATTTTTAGGATTGGGACTATAATTTTTATTATTATCATTATTTTGCTTCAAGCAAAGTAGACAGTGACTTTTTTGCCTTCTAAATTGTTATAGTCATTATGCAGACTGAAAAAAAGCAGATAATCTGGGCCTTATTGTACAAAAAGTGTGTTGTGTCCACAATTGTGTACAGAATTTTTCTTCATTAATTTTGTTTTAAATTAATAAAATTGATTTGTGAAATATTAAACCGTCCTCTTACATATAAGTATTTGATTATGTTTTCCAGTGGGGCAAAAGGTGGTAGCATCTCTCATCTTTTTGCTAGCCCAAGAGACAAGATTAGCACTTCTTTGTGCCACCCAGATAAGAGACCATATATAGTAATAACAACCGTCTTGGCTACAGAGGACTAAATTAGATGGACAGCAGCTGTTTCTCTGCTCGGTGGGAGCTAGAGAAGATCAACACAGACTATCCCACAAGAGTAGGTGTCAGAGTGCATTGCTGCCTCTTTGGTTTAAATTTGTGATTGAATTTAGTCATCGTAGAAGCAAGGAACTTGCAGCCAGATCCAGAAAGTATTTAAGCACCAACATGTTAGACTGTACAACATCTATCTTTGAGTGCCTGTCACCTGGAGTGGAATCCAAAACCCTAACTTAAAGCACCTATTTCTCCTCTGTGGTGTGTAGGGGGAATTAAGTGCCATAGAGTGCAATCCAAACCAACTCCCAGAAGCTAAACAGGGAGCTACCTAAACTTAGAACATGTAAGATCCAGATATATGTCACGTTTACATTGGTAATATCTGTCTTTACACTGGTGAAAAAAAGAAGTGGATGTACATCATACATTGCTATGCTGGGATAACTCACCTGAATCTGGTATGGAACTAACCTGGGAAAATCAAGGTAAAAGTATATTGGTGTCAGTTACCTCACTGTAAGTGATGCATGTCCAACTCTATCCTGGGGTAGCCATTTGCTAGCCGGCCACCTAGTAGGGAGAGTCTGTAATCTTTGCACAGTGGCAATATTGTAGCCTGTGAGGTTGAACTGAGGCGCGATCATTACTGGTTGAAAACTTTTGTAATAGCACTTACGTTAAGCAGCAACCTTGAAATGCTTGGTCATCTGCCTGCTACAAATCCTGATGTAATTTACATCAATCTACAAAATACGAGTAAAAATGTTCCAGCTGCCTACACCTATCTGGTAGGAAACAGTGGTGATGCAGGCAAGTCTATAATCAGGCATCTTACTCAGAGCTTCAGGAAGATACCTCCATGTACTTGGGATCTACAGCTGGGAATCTTTTTCTGAAAGTAAGTCAAAAACTAAGCAGGGCTCACTGAAAAAAATATGGCCAAGGGAGGAAGTTAGAGTACTCATCCAGGAAGTAGAAGATCATTTCAGTTCCTGTGTATGAGGGTATCTAATCCACTTCACCTCCAGGACTGTGCTCTTACCACTTGCCTGTACTCACATAGCCACATCTCTTTTGCTGAAGCTGAGACACTGCAGAAAAGAATTCAGATTTCATCTGGACAGAGGATGTAGGAGTAAGAATATAATAATACAGCCTAATGGTCAGGGACTTTGCCTGAGGTGGGGAGATTGGGTCCTAGTCCCTACTTCCAGAACTGTTCATCTCTTTTATATATTTTGTGCTTAATATAAAATATGAAACTCTCAGTACTTTGAATGCCTGCCAGACTGAGTCTCAGGGGGTGCAGCAGGAAGAAAGCCTGCTTCTGGATCCCAGTCAGCCTTGGGGGTGAACTAAGGACATAGGCTCAGCCCTGTTAGTAAGGGGATTTTGGACATGGACGTTGAGAATACTAAGGACATAAGCTTGTGCCTGTAGGTTTGAGAGTGTGAAGCAGCTGCAGTGGGGTTTCCAGAACAAAAGTTTTTGTACAAAGAGTCTAGAATTCCATCTAAATCCCACTTTAGACACCTACGTAATGTCTTGGATGTGCCTTGCATTGCATCCCAGCAATGGAAAAAAAAAAAAGAAAAAGGTAGCTGTTTTCTGAAGCAAGCACCATGTGGGCTAAGCCAGTCAGAGAAGTGAGTTGCATGATGGCCAACTGCTCGTTCCAGGATATATGCCCCTCTCCTACTGGGTGCTCGTTTCCAAGACCTTGCCTTTTTCTGAACCAATTCTGTTTTGGTTTTCTGATGCATGCAACTGGGGATTAGTGCTTGCCCTGGACAAGCACATTCTCTTTCACTTTGGGTACTTAGCTAAGCTTTGAAATTGTGTCTTCAAGGGTGAAAGACCAGCTTATTGTGCCACTTGAGTCCGTCTTGTCTGAAGACGTGAGTACCTCAGGCTTAGAGTTCTCAAGTACTTTTCTGTGTCACATAAGACATATTTATATAGTTGCTGGAATCCAAACAGTGAAAGAAATTTTCCTTATAACACATTGTGCAACATTGTCCTGGCACATGTGGGTTGTCATCAAATCACAGGAAACACAGTTTTCAAGCTATGATAAACAAAACCCCTGCAGATTTGTTGTTTTTTGCAATCATTAAGTATGAGTGTTTTTGGATGCCAAAGTCCCCAGATCAGCCAGCTATGCTATCAGACGCTTTCAGATAAGTCCTGTACCTTCAGAGAGCATCAAGGGATGAGAGTTTACTCGCTTATGCTTTTCAGCCCCTCATGAAAAATAATGGCTGCCAGATCTGACAAATTCTTTCTAGTGGCTTTGTTGTTTAGACTGCTGTATTACCATGATGTGTTTTAAAGGCACACTCCTTCATTAAAGTTGCTTATGATCTCAAATTAGACTTAATCCAAGACTCCTAAATTGCAAGCACTACTTGGCTCCAAACATTTGCTTTCAGAACACTACCAGGCCTGTAGCTATACATTATTTGACATTGCACATGAAGTTTAAAACTGGAGCCTTATTGCGCCTGTGAATCAAGCTCTTTGATTCATGAACATACACACTCTTATTTAAAAAATGTTGCCCCAGGTTCCTTATTTTAAAAAAAAAAACACATTCGTGTCTTAAAATGATTAAATACACAGTACTCTGATGTTTTGGAAGCAAGAGAAGTCCAGATGCTATATATTATTCTGTAGTAATCCATTAAAGCATTGAGGTTACAATGACAAAATACTTTTCAGTATTCCAAACTCTGCTTTGCAAAACAGAGCTAAAACTTGGATTAAAAAAATAAAGAAGTAAAAAGGTAACAGTTGCTTCCTAACAAATTAAAACAAACACTGGGGATTATCCAAAAAGCCACTTTAATGCATGTTCAGGGCCAAGTTCTGCCTATAATGTATTTATGCAGCACCAATCACCATGGAAAGCAGCTCTTCGCGATCAGTGGGGTCATTATAATTCCCTTTGAAATCAATGAGTTGTGTAGGGTATATGTCGGTCCAAAATTAGGTGACCATTTGTTGTTTCACTTTTTAAGACTTGAAGGGTACATCCACATGTGCACTTTAATGTGCAATAGCCTATTTTACTACACATTAAAGCATCACATCAAAAACCTAATGCTAATATGCTAATGCACAGTAAAAATAGGCTACTGTGTTTTAAGTGTCACTAAAAAAGCATGCACATTTAAAAAAGGCAGCCTAATCTGCATTTAATATCTCACATTACAGGTACTAAATTTAATGCTCAGTAGCAGAAGCACATTAATGAACACCTAGATGCACCCAAAATGCCCGTAATTCCATGATAGTAAAGAGAGCTACGCTTGCCTGCTGAATCTGCCGAAATAATTATTTTTTTAAATAACACTGAACTATGAACAACTGCAGTTAGCGTAAGACAGTGATTCTCAGCCAGGGTTCCAAGTCACCCTGGTACCTTGAGATCCTTTCAAGGATGGCATGGGGTGCCACACAATATTACCATCATTATGCGTGCAGGCATGATTCACAGGATAAACCCAGAGATTTGAAATGGGAATCCACAAGAATTAAAACAAGTATGATCTGTTGGACGTTTCAGAGTTCTTGGAAGCAGAAGAATCACTCTATTACCTTTTTGCAGTCAAAAGCATAGTGAAAACTTAAAAGCTGGCATTTTCTGGGGGATGCCTTGAGTGTATAATGGTTGAGAACCACATGCACTAGAGTAATATCTATCTCAGTTATTAGGCTTGTGTTACTTTGGAGTGGTGTCAAGGTGGTGAAAATAACATTATTGTTATTAATGTGGTACCAGGATTTTACTACACGTGTTGCAGACATGTATGAAGACAAAATGCCTATTCCAAAACCAGACAGTCCAGCTAAGAAAATACTTGCAGCCTTCTTTTCAATCTCTCTCTCCTACCTGTTCATGTTCTTCAGATTCTGCCCTGTATTATACATGTGCAGCTCTGTCAAGTGGAGTTACTTGTACATGGACCTCTGATGACAGTACTTCAATCCTAAGTGTGTAATGCATAAATATTGACAAATTGGTTTGTGGCAAGGGAATGAGGACATACTCAAAGAATAAGCTGTAATTTATGTACCTTTTGCCCTGGTAACTTGAAAGCAGATTTATAGTTAAACCTCTAGTTCATTCACAGAATATTTAGCACAGCTA